TTTGAAATAAAATAAAATTACTTTAAATATAAAAAAAAGAAATAATAATTCTTGATATTTTGCTGAATGAAAGTTCCCATTAAATAAATGAAAATGCACAAATATAAAATGAGAATACCCAAACTGGTGCCCATAGAAACAATGACATTTCCCCTACACAATATTTATTTCTAATCTGGCAGCCATTTTGAATTGAAAATAATTCAAAATGCGTAATTCAAATAATAGTGGGGGGGGGGGAACATGTAATCCCATGGTTTTTTAATGCTCAAATCAGACAACTGTTTTTCAGAAATGTGGAATACATATCAAAGAACAAGAAAAAAATTAGGTACTTTGCTGACATGCTGTAAACAAAATGGTCGTCATTTTTCAAAATGACAGTATATAGTTTGGGTACCCTAATTTTTTTTCCTCATTTTCAAGCAATTTACAGGGAATAATTTATCAAAATTTTTTGAACTTTCATTTAAAAGTCTGCTAGTTTTTGTAATTCATTAGATTGGTTTTGTGTAATTACTGGATTTGAACTTTCAGTGACTGATACATTTTTGTTGTTACAGGAACAAGAAATGCCTCTGCGTACAATGCTTGAAGTTATAGCAAAACATCTGTTAGATAAAAGGGTTAATAAAAGCAGCAGTGCATCTAATTTATCTGAGAGTACAGTGAAAGAACAACGTCCGTCATCAAGTAAAGGCAACAGATCCGCATCTGGAAAGTCACCAAAAACAGGCACTTGGGATCTGGATGGTGATATGGAAGTCATGGGTTAGTAATAACTGTTATAACAACATGTACTGTCAAATATCAAATTGGTGTATAGTACTCATTCATTGATCTATTCCTTGCGGAGCCTAGGTTATCAGTTGGTATAGATTGAAATCCATGCACTCTGTTGAAGAAATGGACAACATATTCCCACTCTTTTGATAGATCATTTGAACAACAAACCTCACAGGATGCACTGTCAACTTCAGAATTTACATCTACCTCATGTCATTTGCTCATGTATTTATTTTTATGCATGTATCTAAAATGCAAGCTTCTTGGAAGCTATAAACAAAATGTCCCAACTTCTTTTTTTCTCAAGAGTGCGACTGCATTTACTTTAAATTTTAGGGTAGGTATTAAAATTGAAATAAAAGACTTTGCACTGACCATTATTGCGTGTTATAAATCACCACTGTCAGAATAAGAGGTTTTTGTGATGTCATATCTTTACATCATTCAAACACTGATCACCCCTATCTGCAAGTAAATTCATTTCAACAAAAAGCTCCAAAATTAAACTAAATTTGTTCAGCCCGCTGCTTTGTATTGTCAGCAAACTTTGTTAAGTAATATACATGTATATACTGTAATAAATGCAGCAGTTATGGTGTATTTGTAAAGTGTCTGCCCTGCGCCAATAGTCAAACATCATCTAGTAGTTTTTGTGGATTTGGTTTCCAAGTTTTTTACATCTTAGGGGTTCTTCAAGCCACCAAACTATACACGTGAATCACAAATTAATATTCTATGTTAAGCATTTTCCAGAGTCTTGTAACAACGTGTCGCTTTAAATTTTCTACTCCGTGACCTACTCCGAAACCCTTGTTCTTCTTACATATAGCTGTCAATCCACTGTATTTACTTTATATCAAGAATATTTCCCAATTCACCACTAACTGGCCATTTGGAGTTAGTTCATCTTTTCATCATCAGACTTTCTCACCCAAATGTTGTTGCACTCTTTTCTTTAATTCCTCAATATTTTTAGAAATTAACCCTAATTTTGAAGCCAACAGACAAAATTTGAGTCAATTTTCAGTTTTTACACAACAAATTTGGTTATTTTTGTCCAAATCTTCTGAAGGAATGTGCAGACTATAAACAGGACTATCTTGTGAATTTGTGATAAAAAAAAAAGGATCTCATGGTACACTATTGTTGAGCATTTGGCAATTGATCAATCCATTTATATGAGAAATTCAAGAAATTGAATTTGATCAGTATCATTTTTTTGTTCAATATACATGTATATATGTATTACACTTTATACCATTTCTAGATCTTGGAGGACTTCCACAATCTAATTTAGGACCCACAGGAAGAACAGCTTCAATAAAAAAATCATCGTCATCATCACGCTATGTATCCAAACCTGACCCAGAACCAGTCACTGATAGAACAGACTTTCACAGGCCGTCAGACTTGATAGAAGACATAGAAACTGATTATAACAACTACAAACCAAAAAATATAATTCGGGATCCTCCGAAAATGGAATATACAGCTAAGGAAGAAACATTGCCAGCCAGCAAAACCAATGCTAGACCTACAACTGCCAGTAACAGACATCGTGGCATGTCTGGACCTATATCCAGTAGTCGTGATGTAAGCAGACTGTTATTTTAAATTGTTTACAATGGTTGAGAATATTGTTGTCAAGGAACTTGTGATTTTGCAGTTTTTATTGTAAATTATTATTTAGTTGTGTAGTGTAATATATCCAAAATACAGCTTTCACTGTATTGACCATTGGAAAAAATTTTAAATTACATTCCTTTGAGTTACTTTTCATTTTCTTTCAGAAAAAGTTTATTTTTCTAAGTTGTAAACGCATAATTCATATTGCTCACCAGAATATTTTGTTTCTGCTACACTCGAATAAAGTGACCAATCACTGCTTATTTTAGAACAAGGACACAAATTGTCTGCTTTTTACAGATAGATTGATCGGTCCCCTGTAATAGAAGCATGCTGATTGGCTCATGCAAGCTACTGACTACTACATTGTTTGTCATACTTTGCTACATCTTTCTTGTATTAACCACTAGGTGCTGCAAAAGACCCAGGACAATGTCTATGTTGTTCATGATATGGTCCATAGTTCAACTTTAAATATTTAGATCCATCGTGTTCATAGTTTTCTTATTCCTGATAATTTTTTTGATACTTTAGGATGTCGGAAGAAGAAGAGGTCCGAAGAAAACCAGCAATATAACACCTGGACTTGGCTCAATGTTGGAGTTTTACCCACTGGATACTGCCAGTGACAAGATTGTGGACGAGGACAAGCCTGAAATGAACATTCTGGAAACACCAGCAGCTTATAACAAAGTTGATCGAAACAAAGACAATGCTATTAGCAAACTTGTCAATGATAATCAAGTAGTCAATAATAAATTGGAACAAAAGTCTGTAGTAGAGGAAAAAAAGTGAGTGCTTAATAATATCAGTCTCAATAAATACTTGAAGCATGACTGTTGTGTGTGACAAGTGTTTTCACTTATAATGTACATATAATCTTGATAAATGACACTTGATAGAGGAATGCTGGGTTAAAACATTTCTCATCACTTAACTATTCCTTGGCATTGCCGGGTTATTAGGTATTAATATTATAAAAGTATTATAAATCAAATATATGCTGGGAGATCATTGCATGCTCGGAGAGCAGTGCATGCTGGGGGATCATTGCATGCTCGGAGAGCAGTGCATGATTGGAAATCATTGCATGTTGAGAGATCTATTCATGCTGTTCCATAGAACCGTGGAGACATTTCTGCCAACCAGCAAAAAATGCTGTGCACAAGCAAACGCAACGTTGCTCTGACAATGTTTTCCATAAGTCATTATTTAATGTGACACACACATACAGATTTAATAATAATAACAGCAGCTATTAAAGAACAAAGTCATAATCTTGTGATATGAACTTCTGGTTCTTACCATTCACTGTTTACGCGTACATTGTATGAGTATTAAGACCAAATCAAGTTTTGATCATGATGTAACATATGTACTATTAGTGTTTTCTGTATTTTTATAATTCATAATATTTCAGGCGTCCCAAGTCATCCAGCTCACAGAAACCCAAGGCAGTACATGGTGACATGGAGTTAGGTGATGTTGATGATTTGGAAACTGATCTTGGTGATTTGACTCTAGGGCCAGTACCTAGTGCACAGTTAAGAAACATTGTGGATGCTAAACCTATTACTTTACAGCAAGCCATGGTAAGTTTGATCTGAGAGTATGAACATGTATTGCTATTCTATAAATGCATTCATTGTTCATGTTCACACATATATATATATGGTACTTATTCCGTTCTTATCTGCAGGAACTTAAAAACTTAATGTTCGGATCTCCTTCAGTGTCGTTCAGTCCCGAGTGGCGAAACCAGGGATTTGGATTTAGCAATAAACCACGGTTAGAGTATGGAATGGTACAGCATAAGGTGGGCCAGCTATGTTTTGATGAAATATCTACTTTTCAAAACTACTAGTAGAATGATGAAACCTACTCAAAGTGGTTTTAGTCTTGCTTGTTTCACCATTTTATTTTTTGTCGTTATCAGTTTTCCTAAATTGCCAGATTTTCTTGACTTTTACCATATGGCTTTACTTTGTATAAACATCTTTTAAAATGATGTAAACATCTTTTAAAACTAAAAACTATTTGTGCTTATAGTGAAATAGTTTCATCATATGTCAAAATTGTACGTGTCCTAAATTATTATGAAAATTCTGACGAATTACTCTTATTTTCACCACCAAATCCCTCTTTTTATCGCAAATTCACAAAATTGTGTCATTTATAGTTTGCACTTTCCTTTAAACGACTGGGACAAAAACTGAAAATTTACTAAAATTTTGTCTGTTGGCTCCAAAATTTTTCATTTCCGGAAATATTGAAGAAATTTAATATAAATAATATAAAATTTGGGCAAAAAGTCTGGTGGTGAAAAGGTTAATTGGTTGAAATGATAATACCAAATAGAATTCTCATAACTACAAACAAACGTGACACCCATGAAATTAAAGCAATTTACAAAATTAAATATTATAATTTTCTGACTATCAGTTTAATTTGATTTACATATTTCATTGCAGGGTGGACCCTGTGGTGTCCTTGCATCTGTCCAAGCCTGTATGTTACAGCATTTACTATTTGGCAAAGATAAAGTGCCCTCCACTGCTAGCTTAGAACCCACCAATCATGAGAGATCGACTTGTTTGGCGCATGCTATAACAGACATTTTATGGAGAGCAGGAGAGAAGAAACAGGCCATACTTGCGCTGTGAGTACACCACATACATAATATGAAGAGACCTCAAAGTTGGCCATATCCACCAGGTGGATGTAGCCATAGTACTTCATAAAGCCTTGCATCATTTTCCTGCTAGTTTATACAGTGTTCACACATGTGGAAAAATGATCCATAGTTTATTTTAACTCACTGTTGAAAAACATGTGTGAACATACTAACCAGGTCTTTACCCAGGGTAGTTTATCTTTGAGTCAAAATGCTTGTCCTGACTCTGAGTTCTGTGTTCAACCTCACGTTGAGACACATGTGAACAAGGTCTCTGAGTTAAAACAATGCCCAAAATGGCATCAGCTTATCATAATACAAGATAGCTGACGACATGCAAGCAGCTTATAAGCATGGCAATACTTGGTCAAAGGAAGAGACAAAATTATTTGGAAAGACCAGGACATTTTTACTTTGATGGATAGAATGCCACAAGATTTATGCTATATTGCTAGCAACAGCATGTGAGAAGGGGCTCGTTCATTCGGCAGTCTACATCAAGCCCAATCGTAACTCAAATTCCGAACCCACGCCACGTCACATTAAATGCAATGACGGTCTGTTTAAACTATGTGGAAACCATCTAGAATGCAAAAGTGTGAAAAGAAATAACTGAAACAATGTATTCGTTAGCCATTTTTGTTCATACTGTTAGTGGTAAGAAGGCCTAGCTAGGTGTGGATGCTGAGTTAAATATAAACACCTGCAATGTATGAACAAAAGCAGGTTTAGCCTACTGATAAGAAACTCTTCATTTCTCAACTAGTGTGAACATAGCTTTTCTTACTGGATTAAAAAGACAATGGTAAACAATAGACAGATTAGTTAAACAACAAAAAGACTAGTATCCCATGATTCCTTAGTGCAATCCCAAGGATTGAGGAGCCTCAGTTTAATATTCGCCCAAAATGATAGGGTGTAAAACTTCACCACAATAGTGTGACTCGCTCTTATGAAGATCCAAATGGAATTGTTAATGTTACAAATTTCACAAACTACACAGGCTAATACTAACAACTGTGTTTTCATTATTTCAGTCCTTCAGGCAGATCTATATTCTCAGGGGGAGGAAGATACAAACCAGACCATCTAACAGAAACAGTGAGTACATTTTCACTATATTCACTATGATTAATATTTCTATGGCTACATACTGAAAGAAATGTGTTTTTCTAACAATTATTGTTATTTATTATATTATTATAAGTGCGAAATTTTGGGGACTACTTTATTTCAGAAGTCAGAATACATTTGTAAGGGTGTTATATGTCACCCTTGTGAAAACATTCTGCTTTCTTTGATGTTTCAACACATCACATCAAGATATTTAACTTTATTCATCTTTCAAATAAAAAACAATGAATGTAGACAGGGTTCATATTAGCAAAGCTTTCTAAATTATTTATTTTTGTTACAGCTTGTACTAAATTCTTTCACTAAGTATGATGAGTTATCAGATTTTGTGAGAGCAAATGTCGGTGTATTTGAAGGTGACCAGTGTGGTGGTGTGATATTATTACTATATTCTGCACTGCTATCAAGAACAATTGATAAGTAAGTCAATTCTCAGTATGGTACTTCAAATAGAAACTTATGTGTCTTTGGAATGTTTTCATTGTGTTTCTCATGATGCATCCTGGTAAAAGTTTGACATGGTAGATATTTGCATATTAAACAATCAACCAATCACAGCACTGATTGGTGTTCTCATTAGTGTATTTTACATGTTTGATGTTAATGATGAAACAAAAATCGGCTCACTGTAGTAATAACGCATAATTTAAATTAAAGCGAGTTGCGATGCACAGAAAAATGAAATGGTGTAAACTTGTTGCCATAGTTGAACTGACATGTTATATCATCCTGAAAAAAAAATTGTGTGACCCAAATACCAGTCAAATGAAAGTAATAAATATTGTATTCTAAACATTACGGATATGTTTTTTGGTTGAATATATTTGTCAACTAATATTTCATACATTTTGATATTCAGTGTTTTTGCCAGTGATTTGTGAAAATAGACGACCTAAGTTTGAATAAAGATGAAACATTTAACATCAAAAAAAAGCTGAAAGCTGCATTTGTATAATTTTCTGCAATTAAAATAAGCGAAACACAGAATAGCAGACAGAATTCTACTTCTATGATGACTTGACTGACATTTTCATTTGCCATTCTATGCATAAATATTGTGCACTGTTTCACTATTATCATGGTATTCAATCACTGGCTTTTAAATTCTCAGTTTTACCAGTGAAACAATGATATCTATACAATTGTAATTATACATATTTTATAATACATACTGGGTATATTTAATTCAGTAATTTTTTTCAGAAATGAATAATAATAATGAAATTAAAACCCAGTCAAGAATTAATGAGTTGACAGTATTGTTTATAGTTAGTGCACTGCTAGTCATGGTTTTCAGACCTGTCATCTTGAAATTAAGCTCCTACTACATATTCATCTGTTTTTCTTATTTTCAGTTAAAGGTCCAGTAAACACTTTCACCCACAGATCATGTTATTGTGTAATCGAATAGTTTTTCATTATTATGCCATGCATATTTATTGCCTGACATGTACCAGGCTTATTGTCGTCATATATGATCTGCAGAGGTAAATTCCAGTACTTCTGTGAGTATTAATGATAATTATATATTTTATTGCAGTGTCATAGGAGACATGGATGAGCCAACCAATAAACTAATGGGAATGCATGGCTATTGTACACAGGTAAAGGGAGCATATGTCATAGTATAGTCTGTCTGTCTGTCTGTCATGGTGTCTGTCTGACTTATTATAACAGTTACCGGTATTGTAAATTAACCTTTTGAGCACCATATTTTGTTGGTCCAAATTTTAGTGCAATATTTTTTTATGTATTTTTCAAAATTTTCAATTGGCTACAGGTGTTGATCAATTTTTATAAAATAATATAAAAAAAATATGTGGTTATATTTTGTGAATTGTGACAAAAGTAGACAAGGGGTTAATGCCATTGAACTTAAAAAACATGTGAATATTGCAGAATTATGTAGTTTTTTTTATATGTACCGGTACCTGAAAAGATATGTTGAAAAATGAGTTTACTGTACTTAATCTTTTTTTTTTTATCTAGGAAATGGTGAATTTAATACTGACAGGGAAAGCTGTGTCTAATGTCTTCAATGATGTTATGGAAATAGGCTCTGGTGAAGGAACAGAGAAGATGATATTAAAAGGGATCAAATCTAGGAGTGATATCGGTTTATTATCATTATTTGAACATTATGGATCATGCGAGGTAAGATTAGTCGCTCATATTTATAAATCACTAATGTACATTGGCCCAAGGTTTCTACCACTATTGTAAACTTTTGGTACTTAAGCATATCAAACATTGTTATTTTTATTAAAAGTATTAAAGTGTTGTAGTGAGTCATTGTAAAATGTATGTGCCATATTATGGGGTGCCATTTGTGCATTTTATTATTATACGTAAACAATTCTGTGATTTTTCATTATTAATAAATGATAGAAATCATGAGTTAACATGTTTGTTTTATTTATAAATAATAAGATTCATACTATTATATATATATATATATATATAATATCTTTATGTACATTTTATTATTTATATATAATTTGACTTTCTTTACTCAAATGCTATTTAAAATATTGAATATTTCGTATTGTATGACATGAAATGTGTTTTCCCTTGTATTTACCCGTATCATACATACACACTTTGTTTAAAAATTTATAGGTACTGGAAAGCTTCATGTATCTCTGCTAAGTTTGACTTGAAGTGCCTGAATCGTTATCATGTTGAATTAAGACTATTTCTTGTTTTTCATAGGTTGGTGTTAATTTCAAAACACCTCGTTACCCAATATGGGTGGTTTGTAGCGAGAGTCATTTCAGTGTATTATTCTGTCTCAAGAAAGAACTGATCAGTGATTGGAGAATGGAGAGAAGATTTGACTTGTATTATTACGATGGTCTTTCGAGACAAGAAGAAGAAATCAGATTGACTGTTGGTAAGTACACTTACATGCGTTGATTTAAATCGATACGTATTCTCTATATTTGCCACATATGCAGCAAAGTAAATCCTGTTTTCGGCTAGATCTAATACAGCAAATACAACTACTAAGATTTCATCAATATCGACCTGACTCATGACTGTAAACTGGAAGTCTGGTTTTCTCTGAATCACATTTATGTCCTTTCATTGTAAACACAAACAATGAAGCTAGTCTCATCTTGTAAACAAAAATAAAAAACATCTCTCAAAGCATACTCGTCTTACTATAATCAAGTGATGTATTTCCAGATACAACAACTGATATGTGCTTTACTAATTAAATGTTCAAATTACAGTATTTGTTGGTGTCATCTAATTGGAATTATGCAGCATTAATCTGTGATTCTTGTTTTTGTACAGATACCACAGTGAGTTATACACCCCCCTATGATGAAGAACTAGTCCCTCCATTGGATCACTGTATCAGAACCAAGTAAGTTCAAAGTGTTTATTTTGGATGACGTCACTAAGCATTTTGTCATGTGATTAATTATTCATGAAGACGTTCAATTCAGACAAACAAATGAGTTTACAGAACTGATATATTGGCAGGTGTATTTAGAACTGCATTGAAATAATTTCTTGGGAATTTTGTTGAGACAGTAAACTTTGTTTTTTGGATTCACAACAGATCACCAAAAACAGCACAGTAACACAGTTGTAGTTGAAAATATTGACACACTTGGATTTCCTTCACATGCTGTACTTCATTCTGTGATTATGTCAGTTTCATTTTCAGTAAGATTTTGTAATTGTGATAAGCTCAATTGTAGTGTAGCTTTGCATATGCGTGTGCAGAAACTGTTTTATCCATGTGTAATGGCTGTCAAATTTCCCAATTTCCCCTGGTGTAAATTCATTAAAATTCACCACTTGTGAAATTAAATCAGTTTACCATATTTCATTTGTAAATGGGAACTCGTACAGCCACAATGGCTATAAGCTGCTCTGTAATATTATTTAACTGTGATGTCTGGCCTTTAATGGATACTTACCGGTATTTCTGATCTCCAAAATTGTGTCTTTCTCAATATGACCATACTCCTTTCCCCTGTTTCTTGGTGTTCTGTAACAATCAGTCGCACTCAATTTGGAGAAATTAATTATAATTTTATTGTTTTGTTGTTACAGATGGAAGGATTCAGTCATTGATTGGAACGGAATAGAGCCAATTCTATGAAACTTATCAGCTCTTAATATGTATGTTTGGTTTATAATAATTTGTCAAATATTTCCAAAGATAATAAATTGTTACAGGGTCTTTTTTTTATTTATGTACATACCCATGTAATCTAATTTTGTGATAATATATTCTTTGTGTTTCAATACTAGAACCTAATTAAACCATTAAGTTTACATTCAGTTCCAATATATTTTTTTATGTCAAATTTGAAAGACCTTGCTGTCAATGTCACCTTGCTGTCAATGTCACCTTGCTGTCAATGTCACCTTGCTGTCAATGTCACCTTGCTGTCAATGTCACCTTGCTGTCAATGCCACCTTGCTGTCAATGTCACCTTGCTGTCAATGCCACCTTGCTGTCAATGTCACCTTGCTGTCAATGCCACCTTGCTGTCAATGTCACCTTGTTGTCAATGTCACCTTGTTGTCAATGTCACCTTGCTGTCAATGTCACCTTGCTGTCAATCTCATCTTGCTGTCAATGTCACCTTGCTGTCAATGTCAATTACTATAGTGTAACATATGATAATTGATTTTATAAGTAAGATCGTATTTTGTCAGATTTGGAAGACCTGACTTATTTGCACCATTAGTAGCATTTATACACTCACGTAAGTGCTCACGATAAGTCATATTTTAACCTATTGACCTCCAGACTTTCTCGTCCAAATGTTTCTGCACTTTTTCTTATATTCTTCAATATTTTTGAAAATGAACCTAAATTTTGAAGCCAACAGTCACAATTTTAGTAAATTTTCAGTTTTTACTCAAAAAATGATTAATTTTGGTAAGTGTTGACTATAAATGGGACTAGTTTGTTTATTTGTGATGACAAGAATGAGCTGGTGGTAAGAAGGTTAATGAACCGATATACAATATATACAGTACCAATGCCTTAGGTACATTTCAACTTTACTATTTAGTTTGACTATCACAGTTCTATTGAATTACATCATCACATCAATCCCACTTAATGATTGAAACATGTTTACAACATTTTTGTGTGTTTTTTTTCAACTAAATTTGAATATTTTATTCATTCTATGCTGCCATAATGTTGTATATCTTTTAATTTGAGATTTAATTAATCTGCACATATATTTTCATATCAGTAAATTTCGATTTTGTGAAAAATATATAATTTTATTTGATTTGATTTGATATACTTTTGTTTTTTCAAACAAATCTTTATTACAAAACCATTTATCAATCAATTTTCTCAAAATAAACCGCCAAGCTGAATAATTAGCGCATGAAATTGACATCAATTTTAATTTTTAATTGCGGGACGGGCGACACTGAATGACAAATTTTCCTTTTTTAGACATGAAATGTCACTTTAATTTATTATCACTGAGTACATGTGATGTGTGTACATCACGAACAACTTATATCAAACATTTTATGTAACAATGACCACCATACTTGTATGATCTGACATTATTACAATGCAGACGACAGTATAGCATCAACTGACTTGTCCACCATCTTGGAATATTGCATCATTGTTCCATATTTGGAATTTACAATTCCATAATATGGTAGGGTTACATGTATGCTGAAAAATATGGCAATACAGCGACACATTTATTTCACAAATTGGGGAGTGGAGGGGGATTATATTTTTACTCAAGCCACAAGTTGATTACAGCTAAATTTGCGCAGAAAGGCATCTCAGCTGTGTAGTGCGCCCTCTACAGTTGTTTGTACTGTTTATATAGCTCTTGAAAGAAGGTACTCTGCATTTTTGAGACATTGGGCTGTACTGCAATCTGAGCACTTATTTATTTCATAATCAATTTTAAAACTACTTACACATTTATGGATTTTACCATGTACAATATTGCAAGATGAATATTTTACTCTTGAAATCTGGTAGTTGACGAAATAATCATCCATTGATTTAAATGGACATGTACAGAGTATTTGTTAGTGTGTTTTGTAAATTTTCTTAATTTCTCGATGTAAGAACATTGTCATAGTTCTTGTTTGGCAGAAAAAACTTGCCTCTAAAATCAAATGTTTGAGCCAAGTCTATTTGTATGACTTTATTTCTACAACTGTCATATAGTGAAATATTTTCTCATATATCACTACTTATATTTCTCTGCATGTATTTTAAATATTTGTATAGCATAGTATTACTAGTAGATGTGTACCACCAAGTGCTGGGGGTAGATCATTATACAATGTATTTTATACGTGTCATGTCGCGCAGTGTGAAATGAACCTAACTTTCAATATCACTTGTATCTCTGAAAGTTGATATTATGTGTACATAGAGTGTATTGTAAATTGAAGAATAAACTGCTATTTAAATCCTATATGCATCTGTTGATATCTTTAAATACTGATTGCATTGGAAACTTCTCTTGGATCAAGATACGGATACGGTGAGTCTCGTGTCTTGTTGCCCTCAGTGATAATTCCTGCAATTTTAATCAATTCTTTTCTGAACCTAATAAAAAATAAAAATATTGGATCGTGCTGTTAAATTTGGTATAATTTATCACAGACTGCACAGTTCATCTTTCAGGAGCAGCTCAGCTCAAATCAATGACGAGCTCAATGTTTCTGTTGAAAATTGAAAATGTGCATTCAGTATTTTAATATGTGCGCTTTATATGATATTAGTAAATCAAAATCGCTTTGCGAAAATAAATTTAATTCACTAGATTGACATACCTATTTATTTACAGTGATAACCATGTATGGGAAAATTGTGAGAACTTAGGACAGGCATATGTAGAGAATGTAATTTTGTCAACAACAGAGTGCAGGGGAACCAAAATAATTGTAAGTGTAGCCGGAAGTGCAGTCAAGAGTGTGTCCAAGTCAAAACTAGAAAATGACAGACTATTTAATTCTCTGTTTTGGGGTAATATTTATGCTTTGTATTCTGTCACAAACTGTACAGCAGTAGTTATTGATATCATAAATTTGTTTGAATGGAAAAATGTTATCATTATTTTGACATTAGTGTTCATCATAATGTGGAAATGTGGACAATTTTGAATTACAGGCTGGGGGGGGGGAGGGATGGCATGCATGAAAATGTGGGTCTACAGTCTGTATCACTAGATAGTGAGGAGAGCGGCGGTCTCCTTCCCAAAATCAATTTATTGAAAATTTATTTGAGTAGAATTAAACAAATCTTACTCGTTAACAGCTGTTTCCCCTGTGGAGTCGTATTGATATTTGATTTCAAATTCAGTCAGTGTATTTGTTCCTCTTTCACTGAGTAGCTTAGTAACCACCATTATATCCAGTGTGGTTTGCTTATCAGGTAGCTGATCTAAAACTGACTTTTCACTCAGCTCCTCCTGCAAAACAAATATAATGAATTTTACTTCCATTTTTTGGCTGAACATGACACTGGGTCTGCTTGGAAGTCACCCAGATGAAGTATGCTCTGCTACTGAAAGAAGGACACTAGTGTCTTTGGTGTAAAAACTTATATAGTAATTTATTATTTAATGTCAAATGTAGAATGGTATCTTCTTTTTACAATTTAGTGTATATGTAAACATTGCCATGCACCTTTATAATATCAATGCTTTGTATTATGGGATATATGACTATTTTAGGCAGCCTGCGTCTCTAAAACGACCACTATAGTTAGATCTCACTGTGATCACAGAGGTTCATCAACTTATTTGGTTTGTTTTATGTATCAATGAGGTGAACGTCGTCCTGAGGGGCGAAACAAGTTATCGGGAAATACACTAATTTTTCAGGACCACCACAACACAGTCTTAAACAAGTTTATTTTTAAAATACAAGTCAAATATTTACCATAAAAAAACGACACCAATATAATTATTTACTGGGATATTGTACTAACCTATTTAATCAATGGTGTTCTTAGAAACGTATTTAATTCTCTGACGTTAGTGAAATCTGAAAAAAGCTTACTTAATCGACCAATCAGCGCGCTTCAATATTTACACATCACGAAACTGGATATTTCTAACCCCCAGGAATGAAGACAGACTTTTCTGAAATTCTGTCACGACGGTAATAAAGAAGTAGTGACTGCCGTAGCAAGTTGTCCAATTAGTATCACAATGTCTTACAATCAACTATAACGGCAAAAAACAAGGCATACGTCATCATTTGATAATTCCATAATTTTTTTATATAGTAATTTGATTTGTTTTTCAAACTTCCTGTGTGGTTAATGCTTGTGGTTCACCCCACTGACGCTTAAAAATACATCAAACAAGTCAATTTGACGAACCCCCTGAGGCTGTGACTGGTTAATAGGAACCTTTGACCTTGGAATTTCGCCTTGTAGCATTGCAGGGTAATTTGTGGGGAACGCATACTCATCATATTGGGGGAAATTCGACGCGGCGTGACCCACACTACTGATGAAAATCATTGACGTCACTGCTTCCACAATTTCGCCTGTGGAACTAAAAAGACCACCACCAGGAACTCCCTTCAAAAGATGAAATATATGGTAATAAATTGTTGTAATTAACTGAACAAATTCTGAAATTGACAACAAAGCAATGATAACGCCTAAAAAGCGAATTATGTGCAATGCTTAATTGCGAACGAGGCATGTTCTTACTTTAATACCGAATCCTTCCGGTGGCGGCGCTGTCATTTCTTGGACCCAAGCTTGGAGCTCGTAATCATTCTTCAGTTTCTCTTCAGCGTCTGTTATAAAATATGTGTATAAAATATGTAAGAGTGGTTCTGTATTTTTAATATGACCATATGACTATGCCACCGACCCGGATCTGCTGTATTTTGGCAACGCTCTTGTGACGACAACTGTATTATTACTTACCATAATGAAAATTTACGATTTTCGTGACGTAATTCTTAATAGCTCCATACAACAGCAATGCATCGTCTCTGTAATGATAGTTTGGTAACGACTCAACATTGGAAACGCCACGATCTTCCAAGTCATTAGGCAATGTACCTTAGACATCCAGTCTCCACTCAGACCACAGTCGTTGTATTATACCATACATCCCAACATGACCAATATGCATGCATTTATCCACCCAACCACCGGGAGCCACTAACTTTGCCAATGCTCGACTAAAAAAAAACACATATTAGTAAATAGTTAAAGGGCGGTGG